TATCGCCATATTACGCCACATTGTTTACGCCCCAAGCGTTCGTTGAACACCTTGCACATTCCTCAGTCACACGCGTTTGTGCGGAAGCGTCAATGTGGCGTAGATATTATGTGCATATGTATGTATGCAGTGCCGATTTATCAATATTCCCCACACGGCACGTTAGGCCATTTGACACTCAGCCACATCGGGCCCTCAACAGCACTCTAAGTGCAGATACGTGAGCAAACGGCAGCAGTAGCAGTAATATGTATGTAGTAGTTACATATAGCGTCGCCTCCGCCATCTAACAGTCGCCCTATTTGAGAGGTGCATATGTACTACATATCGGGGGCACCTATAAATTCACAAAACAAAATGTATGTACGAGGGCAATTTGAAAAGCCAGTGACTTTTTGAATTTTCATCGCCATAACTTTAAGTGCAAAACTACTCCCATCAACTGTCGTCGATTAATAGACTACTGTACAATTTTGAGAAAGCTGCGGCATTTTGTTTGTTTGACGGCCATTGAAAGACGGCAACCTCGTGAATTTTAACGAAAATGGAAAAAAGTGAATTTCGTTTTTGCGTAAAAAAATCCATCAAAATCCACAAGCGCAGGTGACACCGAACATTCATGCAGTACAAACTCCTACCTCATTCACCATATTCACCAGATTTAGCCTCCAGCGAATGAAGAGGCCATCACGGAAATAAATAAATAAATAAAGAAGACGCTTCTTTTTGTTGAAAAATATATATTTTATTTAAAAAGCCAGTGACTTTTCAAATTGCCCTCGTATGTTTAGCATTCACGCATTATTTAAGCAACAGGCCGAATATTTCCTGAAATTTTTGGTGTAAGTTTATAACACAAATGAAGAGGCCTACTAAACGCCACCGAGGAATGGGAATCGTTTTTTTTTTTTTTTTGAGAACCCTTTCATGGTAGAAATAAACTGCGGAGTTTGCTAGTTTGGTGTTGAAGCTGGGTCCTCCCGAGTGGTAGTATCCACCTCTTACCACTCTAAATCCAAATACAAGATAGCTATTTTGTTACTTAAATTGTCCCTAAAAAGTACACGTAAAATAAGTACATAAGTTGTTTTTAGAGCTATGCACAGATTTTCAGAAGAAAAAAACTTAAAAACAAATACCATGGGGCGTGTTTGTTTTACTCATCTCCACAGAATATTTGGCACATTGACACCATCATTATTTTGGTCACATATAAGTACTATGTATGTATGTGAATGGACGCCGAAGAAGAATCTCAGCTGAGCAAAAGAAAAATCTAATAAATGAGATATGTAAACAACAACAAATGTTAGATTTCTAAATTTAGTTCTTTGCCCAGCGCAAGTGCATGTTCTATTCTTGCACTCGTGTGCAGGTTATGCAGTGCCGGATTGGCAACGTAGCAAAAGCCAAGAAAGATAGAGGACAAGATTGCGCCAATTGAGCTGATAGCAGCAACCGGGCGTGACGTCACTAAATACCAGAATGAGAGAGCACAGACCAACTCAACAAGAATAAGAGGAAGAGTCGAACAAAAGGCAGTGTGGCAAAGTTTTTAATTTGAAAAAGCACGCAAATCCAGGAAAAATAGCGTTTTTTTTGGCGAAAAAATCTCCAAATTTTTATTGGTGTATATAATGGACTTTATGTGCATAAAAAATTTGAATGGTGACTCTAGAAGGGTTTGCAGAAGAATGGGCAGTTTAAACCTTTTAACTAGTACAAGATTGTGTAGTGTAATTAACTGTTTTTAAATGGCTTCAATTGCATTTGATAACTACTTAGATTTCTTAGGTTACATTTTTATAACACCGTGAGACAGTCAATTTTACACACGAAAAATCCATATATTCACAAAACTGGGGCCAAATGTAGTAAAATTGCGTTCTTACTTTTTTTCTCTGACGTCAGAATTTTTTTTAAAAGACTTTGAAATATCTAGAATATGATTGAATCAAAAAAATTATTCAAAAGATTCGGTGCATTGAAGAATAACAATATTGGCATCAATTAAAAAAAAAACCTGCAGAATAGAAAAAAAAATAGTTTTTGTGTGCACCAGGACGAATAAGTATTAAAAATGTCCTTTTAATCTTTATCCTTGAATATCCTTAGAAATTTGCAATATTTATTTTTGAAAAAATATATGTCAAGGACTAATATGTCAACTACCATATCCTCGAATTTCGTCCTTCTAGTTTTATTACTTTTAGATAAAAAAATTTTACACTTCTCTTTATAAGATATTGATAGTAACAATATTAATAAATGAAGATCCAGCAATCATTATTATGGAACCATGTATGCGCTCTAAAAGAACGAAGATGTACGATTTAAATTAATAGAGGAAAAATATTTTGAATTTAATTTTTTTTTGTACATATGTATATGAATAGAAAGTTTTGGGTTTAAGAAAGTATACGTTTCCTGGTGTTATCTACAACGATACTAACTTTTTAAAAAATCTTTTTGTATTTTTATTTTTTTTTAAATATTTTTTTTTATAAAAGAAGGTATTTTTTCTTTTAAGTGTTTATTCTCAATTTTTTATATGTGAAGAATACAAATATGCATACCAGAAGATGTGGCCTTTAATAGCCTTTACAACGATACCAAATATTTAAAAGTCGGTTAGTAATTTTTTATTTTTATAAAAAAAAAGGTATTTTTTCTTTCAAAATCTTTATTCTCAAATTTTTATCTACGAAGTATACAAATATACATATCAGCAGAAAGAAGGTTTGATTGTGGTTGCAACGATATCAATTTTTTAAAAATCGGCAAGTAATTTTTTGTTAAATTTTTTTTTATAAAAAAGGTATTTTTTCCTTAAAATTTTTTTTTAAATCTCTACATACAAAGTATACTAATATGCACATCAGAAAAAAGGAGGTTCAATAGCGTTTACAACGATACCCATTTTTTTAAATCAGTTCAAAATTTTTTAAAATATAAGGATTTTATTTTTTTGAAGACCCGACCTTTGACCCCTTATGGCACCTGTAATATAAGTTTGCACAAAAGAAGTTATATACCATTTAAATAATAGCAAAACGTTGACTACGGCTATATTTTTAGTTTTTTAGTTATTTACATATAATAATAAAATATAATTATTTACCAAAGGTCCTATTTCGAACTTGCAAGCCCATATCTCGATTTTCTTTTACTTTTTACCTATGACTCAATCTCTTAAAAAAAAAATGGTTTGGTCTAATATACAGCCGAGTGTTGTACAGTGTAATGATTCCAGTATCTTCATTTCTTATAAAGATAAGTGTACATTTTTTTTGTATATAAAACTAATAAAGCTAGAAGGACGAAATTCAAGAATGTGGTTAATCCTTGACGTATATTTTTATCAAAAATAAATATTGATAATTTCCAAGGATATTCAAGGATAAAGTTTTAAAAGGACACTCTCAAAACTTATTCGTCCTGGTGCACCAAAAAATTAAATTTTTTTCAATTCCACAGATTTTTTTCCGTTTAATTGATATTGTTATTCTACAATGCACCAAATCTTTTAAATAATTTTAGTTATGTAATCATATCCTAGAAATTTCAAAGTCCGTTAAAAAAAATCCTGATGTCAGAGAGAAAAACTAAAAACGCCGTTTTACTATATTTAGCTCCTAGTTTTGTGAATTTATTGATTTTTAGTGTGTTTTAAAATTTTTTGGTTTTTGCCGCACGTTGTAATAAGCGTTAAGGTGTTCCATTATTCATTTCCTCACTATGTAGATACATTTTCCAATTTTTTTTAAGAAAAATTTATAAATAAATAAATTAATTTTTTTCGAATGTTTGAGTTTCGACTTGGGCGATTATTACTTGTGGCCACAAACATATACACATTCATATATCCATAGGCAGATGCTATAAGGTTTTGTGCTTTTTACATGCAGACAAGCTGCTTTTATTTACATCGCTTTTATTACCTTTTTACTATGCTCTATTTTTGTTTTGGATAGACGGCCAACAAGCGGATAAACAAATATACTTATGTGTATATAAACATATTTTCAAATATACATACATACAAATATATGCATACTGTGAAAAGGTGATGTGTTTATGCTCTATAATTGTTTACATACATATGTATATACAAACATATTTATACATACATACAAACATACATATGAACATACATCGTTGAATTAGCTTATAATTGCGATAAGTAAACAATAAAAACGATAAGTTCATTTCAGTTTCGATTCTTTGCCGCTGCGAATTCCATTTGTTGTTGCTTACTTGTAATTTTTGTTTAGACTTTCTCTGTCATGTAATAATTAAGTAATTATAAAGGAAATTGTTTATAGACAGGAAATAATAATCGATTGGCATGCGAATAAAGGCAAATACATATATTCAGTGTACCGAAAAGAGAAGGGGAGTGACATCATATAAACCAGAGAACGTATGAAAACTTTTGACTTTTATTATTTTGAGCAAAAAATATGGATTATTATTATTTCTTCATGTTTATTTTTTGAAAAAAATAGGAGACACAATTTACCTGCTAATTTAAGATACGAGTGCGATCCTTCGAAAAAGTCGTCAAATGGTCCTGAACTAGTCCCAAAATATTCTTAAAATAATCCTAGCTAGTCTCGAAATGATTCAGAACTTTGTATGTATCCCCAAAACGGTCCTCAAATACTCGTCGACTAGCGGAGATGTTCTTGAAGAGGTGGTTGAAGTGGTCCCAAAGTAATCCCGAACTTGTCGCGAAATGGTCGTGCAAGAGCCCTAAACTAGTATAGAAAGGTTAATTTGTACTTACAAGGCACAATTACAGATTTTCTGCTGGCTACAAATTTTTGCTTGGTTACGGCAAATTTTACACGTAGCGAGAGCCTAACCTATTTATTATGTAGTAATTTAATAAAATAAAAGGCGAAACATGGCATTCAAATACTAAAACTATGAATCATAATACATGCTCCTAATATAAAAAAAAATTACTTATAAGCTCTCGTTTTCTTTTCTTTCAGAACGTCTGCAAATCAAACTTCCAACCACAACTCACGCCCACATTTGCTATGTGAATTTATGAATACATAAATAAGTCTTAAAACGGGATTGCGCATTCGAAACCTAACTAATAAAGTCAGCTTTGTTTCAAATCTCTCATTATTAAATACATAGGTATTTCATATAAAAATCGAATTCGTACAACGCAGCTATTCTAATAGCAGTCAATGATGCAATACACAACCAAACAACATGCCGCTTCCCAGTTTAGTGCAGCACACCTCGCACAGTAGAGCGATTAGGTCCACACAGTGAAGCGCACATGCTTTATTAGACAACAAAATATACATAGTTACATAAGTAGCAGCAGCTTGAAGCAAAACTCAAAAAGCAAAAAAAAAAAATCCTCTTACCAATTAAATAAATTAGCTCATATCTCTGTAAAATGCGTAGTTAAAGTCACAGTAATCAGTTAATCAATAATTAATAGTAAGCGTCTACTTTGGGCGCTAGTACGCAAAATATTTTAAAACATACATATATTCATAACAAAGCACGAGCTTCCTAGTAAAGACCTCATCATTAAAAACAACAAAAAACCAAAGGCCCGAGATATCTCAAAGGAAAAGCTTTTATTGGTAAACTCACAGAAAGCTGAAAGGCATCATACAAGCACAGAATGTAGAAAGCATCCAACTGTATAAAATAAAAGAAAAACCACATCAAATAGCAAACGAACTCACTACACAGCTTCAGCTCAAATCACACAACTAGGATAGGAGTAGCACAGCAGTTATCAACTTAAGCGAGCACAGCATATATTGCCCAACACGCCTGCAACCACCCACACATTAACATACAGACACTTGCGAACGCCCGAGTAACCGTCCAGTTTACGAGACACACCAGAGCCAACGAAATAGACGTAGCGACAAGAGCACAATACAGCTGCATCTGGTACCACCGCCGTTTTGAAAGTTGGTGTTGTTGTCAAAACAACAACAACAGACTTAAGAATTACTTTACTTTAAAGCGCGCTGCTCAAAGCAACCGCATGGCGAATTCCACTGTCGCATAAACGGTCCATAGAAGAAAGCAGCGTACTTCAGGAAAAGAAATCTATAGAGATAATATACTTCAGAATGGGTTCTTTTATCATGAGTAGAAAACACAGCCGTGATCGTACGCTGATCGCGATCTTTTGTCTGCTCTTGGTGTGCACAACAACGCTCAGACTTGTCCAAGGCGCAGAGTCGCCCAACAACGGCACATCAAACAATTTGGCTGCCGTTGACAACAAACCCGATGATAAGGTGACTCGTAATACGAACAAAGAGGAGGCGAACTCGGACGTAAGTGCTGTTGCTGAAGCCGGCAGTGCCGGTAGTGGTGGTGGAGGAGGCAAGGGCGTTGGCGGTGACACTCCGAATGATATTCAAAATGATGCCAATGTTGGCGGCAATGATGGTGATGATGATAACGCTGGCGTTTCGGAGGCCAATTCTAATGAGGGCGATAATGTCACCGCCTTGTCGCAGCACAGTGGCAGTTCATTGCAATGCAAAGACGGTCTGCTGCTTAAAGCTTGGATGCCAATCGACAATGTGAGTACCGGTGATCGCGTTGCGCGGGGCCTTGTGTACTTCCTAGCGATGACGTATTTGTTCATTGGCGTTTCAATTGTGTCAGATCGTTTTATGGCGGCGATTGAAGTGATCACGTCCAAGGAGAAGGAGGTAGTTATCAAGAAGAAGGGCGGCGAAACACAGGTTGTCGTGGTGCGCGTCTGGAATGAGACCGTAGCTAATTTGACGCTAATGGCGTTGGGTTCCAGTGCGCCGGAGATTCTTCTGTCCGTTATCGAAATGTTTCAAAAGGGCTTCGAGGCTGGTGACTTAGGTCCGGGTACAATAGTCGGCTCGGCCGCTTATAACCTATTTGTGATTATCGCCATTTGTATTGCGGTCATACCGAACGGGCAGGTACGAAAGATCAAACATTTGCGGGTATTCATTGTGACGGCCGCATGGTCGCTATTCGCCTACGTATGGCTGTATTTAATTTTGGCACAAATTTCGCCAGGCCGTGTCGAAGTATGGGAGGGTTTGTTAACATTCATTTTCTTCCCCACTACCGTGCTGACGGCTTATATAGCCGACAGACGTTTGTTGATTTATAAATATCTTGACAAGAATTACCGCATGAATAAGCGGGGCGTTATTGTGAGCGCTGAGGGCGACGCCGTACTCGAGATGAATCGTCATGAAAGTATTAAGGAACTGGCAGAGAACGAAGAAATGAAGGACTTCGAGGATGCGCGACGTGAATACATTTCAACGCTGAAAGAACTGCGCAAGAAGTACCCACAAAGCGATCTGGAGCAATTAGAAATGATGGCTCAGGAGCAATTGATCAATCGAGGCCCCAAATCGCGCGCTTTCTATCGCATACAAGCCACTCGTAAGATGATGGGCAGCGGTAATATAATGCGCAAAGTGCAGGAGCGTGCTCTCACCGATCTGAACGAGGTGAAAGCACAGCTGCAGCGCGTCGAAGTGGAGGCCGAAGAAGATGATACGACGGTACGCATCTGCTTCGAGCCCGGCCACTACACTGTCATGGAGAGTTGTGGCGAATTTGAGTTGCGCGTCGTGCGACGCGGTAATCTATCCGGTTATACGACGGTTGAATATCAAACGGAAGACGGTTCCGCCGAGGCCGGTAGCGATTATATTGGCAAAAAGGGTGTGCTCACTTTTCCGCCGGGTGTCGATGAGCAACGTTTCAAGATCGAAGTTATTGATGATGACGTATTCGAGCAAGATGAACATTTTTATGTGCGTTTAAGTAATCCGTCAGATCCGGCAATTTTGGCGGTACCAAAAGTAGCTACTGTCATGATACTTGACGACGATCATGCTGGCATTTTCGCCTTTAATCAAAAGACACACGAGTTTGCAGAATCCATTGGCACATATGACCTGAAGGTGCAGCGTTATTCGGGCGCACGTGGTAAGGTGATCATACCATATTGGACGGAGGATGGAACTGGGAAGGCGGGCAAAGATTACGAGCCAGTGCAGGGAGAGTTGGTCTACGAAAATAATGAAACTGAGTAAGTACAAAAGTGTTTGAACCATTGAGGCTATTTATTTTAACTATGAGGGTGCAATAATCTACTGATAATGAATCTATTTAAGCCTGCATAAATCACAGGCTCCGATTGATGGAAGCGCTTAGTAAAATCTTGGTCCATTAAAAAAAAAAAAATATCAACTTGGGGAAACTTTAACAGGCATGCTCTTTGAGATCTTTTCTATCGTCGAAATATTACATATGTACATATAAATATACTTAACTGTTTATAATTCAATTATTTTCCAGGTTTCATAACATAGCTCATATTCCGCTGCGTAAGGCCAATAAGAATTATTTAAAGTAGGGGAATATCATTACTGAATAGAAAATAGTTAAATATTAAAAGTTTTATGTATTTACGTATTTTATTTCGAACATTTTATCATAAGAGGGCGGCCCATTTTTTGTGTTTTTTTTTTTTGTATAAAACCCCAATTCCATGATACATCATTGTCTTCAATGAAAATTGTAGGTGACTCTAATCTGCTTCAATGGGTACCGAATTATCGCGGATCTTGAATTTTTCAAATATTGGGTTGACTTTGTTTCCATCACGGAGGAAGTCTTTCTATTGCACTGTTATTTGTGCAATAAGATCGCAATAAGTAAGATATGCACATTTCCTTTTGTAGGGTAAAACAATTTCGTGACTCATACTTCAGCTGAATAACTTAACGCATTTAACAACAAAAAGATGCAAGGACAGATATATGTACACTTCTAGTGGAACCGAAAAAAAAATACGAACATTTTAATACTATTAAAATGATCCACCATACTTGCAGAAAACCGCATCCAGCTCAAAAGTTATAGATTCAAGCGCTCAGAGTCCCAAAAAGTACACGGTACGCTATAAGTCACCTCCAAAATTTTATCAATTCGTTTAAAATTTTATATTTCGTAGTTTCTAGCCTATTCGCGTATTTCTAGGAGGTGAGAGCGAGGGTTTGAAATAAAGGCCACCTTACGTATAGTATGAACTTACCAACCAACATGAAGCAGAGTAAGAAAAATGCGAATGTCAAGGGTTTACTTGTATACTGTCAATTTATGTCCAAAGGTTCTAACTTTTCTCATATAACTATACTTAATGACATACATACTTTTCATGCAACTATGTACATATGTGAGTATAAAAATTTATTAAAAAACATCAAATGCAATGACTTAAATATGCTTGACAAGTATGAATGCAGGTGATACTTAAATAGCTGCATCCAGCGCAGTTTAACGAAGTTTATAAAAAAAAGTTTCATGAATGCAGAGGTGCTTGTGTTTTCAGAGCTTACCGTTTATAAAGGTCATACATATATGCATATGAAGTTCTCTACGTGCATACTATATATACTCACATACATACGTAAGTAATATATGTAGATAAAAGTGGATATGATCTAGCTCGGATTTATAGGCATGCAAAAAAAAAAATACTGGATTGTGTACAAGTATATGTAAATGCGTATGCACACATTTATGTACTCTTATATATACGGGTACACATATATGTATGTACGTTTGTGTGTATGCATTGCATTAAACGAAACCATAAAATTCCGCGAATGTCGAGGGAAATTGAATTGTGCCTTGAAATCAATATCCGCAGTCCCCCAAAAGTGGGCTAAAAAAGCTTGAATGTGGTTAGTGGTTGTTGGTTAGTCGTAAGTAGAATACGAAGAACTCGTACCTTGCTCATTGTCACCATGGCCTTGCATTGTGGCGTACAAAAGAAAGAAATCCATGACTGCAGGTGGATAGTATGTATGTATGTATGTATATTGCATTCACTGGCTGCTTTCTACCATTTGACTGACCATAGGTCGATTGATTTGGCGGTCAAAGCACATACATATGTACATACATTCATATACGTATGCATTTATGCGATAGGTAGTATCCCTGCAGGGAAAGCTACTATTTAGTTGTGAACTAGAATGCTACCAGTTTGTTTTTAAGCCAAACTAGTTCACGTTACATCCTTTTGCAATGTTAACCACTGGTATTTTTAACATGGCCATGTCCTACGAGATGTCAATTGTCAGGCTATGCATCAGCATCTACTAGTAGAAATACTAGTAACATCATCAGCCAATTCATCGCCATGCCATTTTGTTCGCGGCGCTCCAACAGTCGCAATGGCCGACAGAGCAGAACACTGGCGTGGTATTTGTGAGGTCCGCGGTTCAATCCCTGGCGCAGGGAATGTTTTTCGTACTCTTTTATTTTTATTTTTTGTTTTTTTTTTTATTTAGGGTTTCTATTGTAATTTTTAATTTTTATAAAAAAAAATATTTTTAATAATTTCTTGCTTTATGGCACAAGTATTTCTTCGCATATGCATGTTTTTCTGCTATGAAATTAGTTATTAAAATTTATTATTTATTATTATTTATTATTGAAATAATCATATTGACTTACATTGATTTAATTTTAAAAAACCTAACCACCTCCAAGCGAACTCGAACCTGCGATCTCAGCCCCAGAACCGGTAGTCTTCACGCGACGCCACAGCCGAAATTTGTTAGAAAAACAAATTTTAAGTTTGATTTTGCCAATTAGAGGGCAGATGTCGCTGACCGCTCAAGTTCTTCGAAGTTGTGGACCATTGCCTTAGCACATACTAGTTAATGAACTGGTATTTTCTCTGATTGGTTTGGCTTTTCACTGCTGGGATGTTTGGGCATACATATGTGCATCGATTTCTGGTTTTGTTCCCAACCCAATTATTCTCTTCATAAGTAACGTTTTTACAAGCAGTCATTTAAGTGCACGGACGTGCTCATATGGCATTTGCGGTAAGGTTGCAAGCAAACCAATTTAGGCATTTGCATTTGCACATGACTTCTTACTGCCATATGTACATGCATACATAAATAAGAGTATGAGAGTATTTTGCAGACATGCATCTTCTGCACTTCTATTGTTTAACTATCCAAATTGTAGACTGCCTTTGCATTCAAGATGCAAAAACTCATTTCAGTTGCATACAATCAGCAACGTGCTAATGAAATAAAACACTTTGCACAATCTCATCTTCATTAGTTTGGTGAAAATTCAGTTTGCATTTTATTGCCTTCACTCGCTGCTGCATATGTATGCTCATACATACATACATACATACATACAAATGTCCCTCATCATACTTTAATTAGCAATGGGGTTGTTCACACTTGCCGGATTATCAGGTTAACTGCTTAAAAAATTATTATTGTGTAGTATATTTTATTGTTGTAAACTGAATAAGAAATATAACCCCATAACCACATAACCTGATAACCAAGCAGGCGTGAACAACCTCATTGTATTTTACAGAGCTCCTTATTTCGTCTGTTAATGGATTAGTGTTGAAAAAATTTACACTTTCTTTTCTAACTTGGGTTAAATCAAAAAAAGTTCGCGGTACACCCCTAAGTCTAAAGTATGTTTGCAACGCAATTTCAAAAAAAAAAAATTTTATTGACCTAGGCAACACAAATTTAAATAGTTCTACTAATTGAAATGCTACCTTAGCAAAATTTTAATGGTGGGCCCTAATTTAACAACATTAGAGCGACAGGTTAGGGTGATAAGAATTTAGATCCGGTGGGAAAGTTCTAAAACCGGTTACTTGAGTTCAATGAGCTTTGAAAAAATTGCCTCCTTGATACAAAAATATCGCTACACCATACCTTAAGATCCGACTGTAGATGATGGAAAATGTAAAAAGGTGACTAAATACGTTCTGCAAGAAAATAAAAATTCTTCCAAAAATACTCTAGATTTGAAGGCGTGTGTAATTAAATCTCATACAATTATTAAATACATATACTATATGTATGTACTAAGTAGGGGTATTGACTCGGTTTTTCCAAAACGGTTTCCACCATTTTTTTTTTTTAATATATACATATACAGTAGTCGGTTTTTTTGAAATCATTACTTTTCGAATAACGAATAAACCGTTTTTTTTTATCGAACAAACCGGTTTTTTCATTTCACACAAATCTTGACCTCTCAATAAAAATTTTGCGTTTTACGAAGTGCCCTAAGGTATTTGGGGATGAACAGTATATCATATTTGATCCCGATAAAGGTATGTTGGCCAGTTAAACGTTTTATGCGTGTTTGGCCGAGCATCTCCTTCAATTCGTGATATGCTTCCTGATGTTGAGATCTTCACTTTTACTCCACCTCTGAAGATGCTTTTTTATGGCAGAAGTATATTCGGAGGTTTGCTATTGTCGGCCGATGGGCGACCGCTATTTGAAAAAAAAAACTTTTTTTGAAATGTTGCTGAGCCCAAAAATTTTACCATGGGCCTACCGAGGGCCAGTATGCACCTCTAAGCACTCGGCTGCGGCGGCAAGAGCACTATTCAAATTCGAAAAAAGTCAGAAAAAATGCAATATGAATTTTTAACTGATTTTAATTTGCTTTACTTTTGATCTAAAAAATCGTTGAACTTATTTTACCTTGCTCTTTTCAAAATAAAGTCTATCTTTACTGTTAATAGTTTAATTTTATTTTTGGTCCTGACTTCTTGAGAGTTTCCACTGTAAGAGATCTATGGAAAATAAAACCGGTTTATTCGCTTTTTTCTTAATCTCAATTTTTCGATTAACTCGAAAACCGGACTTGTAAAAAAGGCGAATAATCGAACACCATAGCACTTATTTATATCAATCAGCCCCGAAATCAGATGGAATATACCATCAAACCCCAGATACTAAAAATGTCTCGGACGATTTTAAACCCATTCCAGTCTGGTCGCTTTAAGTAAGCTTGCAATATCGTTAACACCTTCCTCATATGTGTAATCTGTTATGGCCGGGTCTCACAAAATGTTGGGATAGCCAGGATAATATGTAGACGAATGCCTTCAGCGTTTTCTTGTCTCTTTAGTCTTTATGGATAAATTAAGTAATTTTTATTGATGTGGCTCTTCTGATATTTTTTTTTCATATATGTATATATAGGAATATATAGCCAGCTTAAATAATT